ATCATAGAAAGTGGCTCCTTTTCGAAGGAAATTTTGATTTGAACGGAAATAAGTTCTTGAATTCACTACACTTGGGTAACTATTAAATTTATGTACCATGTGATGTTTTTTGTTTTTTATTTTCCCTGTATTGTAATTAGAAAAAAGTAACTGTTTTCATTTCACTAGTTCTTCTATTTTTATCACAAATGATTGTTGAAGTTCGTGAAACTATCACCTTTTGTCCTTAATTTTTTTTGTAACATTAATGTTCGTGATATCGTAGCGGAACCCTTTAATTAAGAAAAGAAAAAGAATTTGTAATTTTGTATATATACAATAAAATTCAATAATATCATCATGAGTTAATTTCTTTCCACTCACCATAAGTATAGTAAGTAGTGAGAAGCTTGGCATTGGCTAGCATTTGCCCAACTAACCACTTTCTCCGAAATGGAATTACAATTTAAGCAGCCAAAAAGTAGACTACGTACAGTTTGCTAGGGTTGATTTTCGACATTTTGTACAGCGTCTTTTATTACTTTTTGTTCTTTTATTCTTTTATGATTATCGCTTATTCTCAAAACAAGAGATTCACTAATTGCAATGCGTTGCAAATTTGCATGACAACTTTTGTCCTAGGCACAAGGCTTTATGCAACGGAATAAGGAGCATTTGCCGTCATCGAAACCATATAATTTTGCGTGTCTTGGTGATACATTCGCTGGTTTATCTGCATAGCCCCATGAATTTTGCACGACCCATTCAAAACAAAACAAGAAAAACAAAAAGAAAAAAAGAAACCTCAAATAACTTATCCGCTTGCTAAGAACACTTTCCACCCATTTTCTTTTGCAGCCTAGGCTCCAAAAACTAGGCAAGACTTGCTTGGGCAAGCTGACGTGTGGGGCCAATTTAAATACAAAAAAGATTGAAAAAAGGGAAGAAAAAAAAACCAAAAAATTCAAAAATGGTTAGGGCAGACACTATTCACATGAATAGTAACTGCACTTGCCTCCTCTTGCCTTTTGCCATGGCGAATGGGTGGAAGTGCTCTAATGAACGCTATGGAGACCTAAAGTCTCCGTTGACCTACCCGTCACCAAAGACTTATTGTACCCAAGACTTCCCATCTAAAAGAACGAATCCAAGATTTTGAAATACACTGCTATTCACATGAATAATAACTGCCCTTGCCTCCTTTTGCCTTTTGTCATGGCAAATGGGTGGAAGTGCTCTAATGAACGCTATGGAGACCTAAAGTCTCCGTTGACCTACCCGTCACCAAAGACTTATTGTACCCAAGACTTCCCATCTAAAAGAACGAATCCAAGATTTTGAAATACACTGGGCTAGATTTCCTTTATAAACAAACTTGACGGTACGAGTGAATTTCATTGATAACAAAAATTATACACCTAATTAGGGGGGACATATTGAGCCGTACCCTCAAAATGCATCTAGTACATAAGATATAAACTAGTAAAAAAAGACAATAATAAATAAACATGCAATGCAAATACATAATACAACTATTTGAGTTGCACCCTTCTAGGCTTCAAAGAGTTGAAATCACTAATTATTGATTTGTTGTCGATACTGTCAGCAAATTCTTTTTCAATGTGAAGTATCATACAATCGGCAAGAAACTCATCCTCTATCTTGTTCTAAAGTTGATTTTTGATAAGTCTCATAGAAGAAAATGCATGTTATGTTGTTGCTGGTCTATCTGCATAGCCCCATGAATTTTGCACAACCTATTCAAAACAAAACAAGAAAAACAAAAAGAAAAAAAGAACCGCAAATAACTTTTCCGCTTGCTAAGAGCACTTTCACCCATTTTCTTTTGCAGCCTAGGCTCCAAAAACTAGGCAAGACTTGCTTGGGCAAGCTGACGTCAGCGGCCAATTTAAATACAAAAAAGATTGAAAAAAGGGAAAAAAAAATTTCAAAAATTGCTAGGGCAGACACTATTCACATGAATAATAACTGCCCTTGCCTCCTTTTGCCTTTTGTCATGGCAAATGGGTGGAAGTGCTCTAATGAACGCTATGGAGACCTAAAGTCTCCACTGATCCTACCCGTCACCAAAGACTTATTAGACCCAAGATTTCCCTTCTAAAAGAGGATATAACCAACGGCTAGTGCATGTAAGTCGTTGTCCAGGGGAAGGAGCCACTGGTTGAGAGGAGGCTTTGGCCATTGATGCGGGCAAAAAACCAAAAATTGTGAGACTTGATTGATATATAATCATGATATATACGATATCAACCATAAAAAAGTGGTAAAGCGATTTCTGATTCTTCTCTTGTAACTTGTGGAAATTGTGCCACGTCAGTTTTCATGCAAAAGTAAGAAGCCAACCATGCATTTGGGAACCAACAATCATCGTAGCTGAACCCTTTTTTTTGAACCAGAACGCTTTCATCAAACGAAAGGGAACGAGGAAAGCAGGAGAAAGCTGCTCCTCAAAAAGCAAACAGACTTACAAACTTAGAACCTCACAACAGAAAAATATTAAAAGCGATAAAAACAAACATACACCAGTTAGAGGGCAAAGACTAGGACGCCGCCACAGTTGACGTGCGTCAACCCCTAACTCAAAGAAATTACTAAACACTTGAAGGACACGGCAGCCCATCGCATTGCAGAAAAGAAAAGGATTTGTAATTTTGTATATATATACAATAAAATTCAATAATATCATCATGAGTTAGTTAATTTCTTTGCACTCACCACTAGCCCAACTAACCACTTTCTCCGAAGTGGAATTACAATTTGAGCAGCCAAAAAGTAGACTGCAGTTTAGTCAAGAAAATGCATTTAATTTCCATGTACCTGATTGGAAGACTAGAAAATCCCCTCTCTCACGTTCTTCGCAATTTCAGGGGTCATTTGGTGCAAAGTTGTATACACCTTTTGGCATTTGAATTTCTTTTTCTTTTTCTAGTACCTGTTTCAATTACCATGAATTTTTTTTTAAAATATATTTATTTATATGCCTGAGTTTTTCACACACTCTACCAATGTGTGATGGAGATTCTAATCAGACTACACCCCGTTGTCCATGGATTTTTTTTGTTACTAACAATTACCATGAAATTTAAATTGTTATGTAAAGAAAAAAAACCATTTGTGGTGTGAAAGTAGCAAATAAACAGAGTAATGTTTTAGACATAAGCATTGATGACAATGATGGTGATGAGTCAAGAAATCTACTGATTGGTTGGACTTGCAAAATAGGTTGAGGACTTGGACTGTTGATTTTGGGTTTGGTTTTTACACGCACTAGCAGCCTTGTATAAATGTATGAGTTCACTTAGTCTACTCATCTGCATCAAATTGAGAAAACTTAGTTCGAAAAATGAAGATCCATCACCTGATCAAGATTTCTCAGTATTTGCTCCTTTTGTTGTGCGTATTGGGTGATATTGGACTTACTGCAAGCACTGGTATGAAAGTGAAACTAATATGCATTGAGGAAGAAAGGCAAGCACTTGTGAGCTTCAAACAAGATCTTACTGATCCGTCTGGTAGGCTTTCTTCTTGGGCGGGTCAGGATTGCTGCCGCTGGAAAGGGATTTCATGCAACAATCAAACCGGTCATGTTGTCAAGATGGATCTCCAGAATACATATTTCGATTCCATGGATTATGAAGAGTATTGTTTGGGGGGTAAGATAAATTCTTCTTTGCTTAGCTTGAAACACTTGTATTACCTGGACTTAAGTTGGAATAATTTTGAAGGGATCCGTATTCCTAACTTCTTTGGAGAGCTTAAAACTTTGAGGTATCTCAATATCTCCTTTGCAGAGTTTGCAGGAGAGATTCCCCCTTCTCTTGGTAACTTATCAAACTTGAATTATCTTGATGTCCGTCCTTTTTCACTCAAAATGTATTCCAAAAACTTGAATTGGCTTTCTCATCTCTCTTCCCTAAAATACCTCAATCTCGATGGACTGGATCATAATAGCAGCACAGGTTGGCTGCATGTTGTTAACATACTTCCTTCCTTACTGGAGTTACATTTATGTGATTGCAGAATAGAAAGCCTTCCACTATCACTACATAGAATTAACTTCACCTCACTTTTGGTTCTTGATCTGTCATTTAATGATTTCAATATTTCTTCATTTCCCAGCTGGCTTTTCAATCTTACTAGCCTCAGAAAACTTGTTCTAAGAGAGAATTCTTTCAGTTGTCAGATTCCAGATAAACTTGCAAGCCTCAAATCTCTTGAATACCTAGATTTATCTGATTTGGGTCTCAAAGGTAGTGGAGTTCCCAGAGTCCTTGGAAACTTGTGTAAACTAAAGACATTAGGTCTTAGGGGGAACAATTTTGATAGTGGGGGGATTGAAGAGTTTTGGGAGAGTTTGTCAAATTGTACAAATAATACACTAGTATTAGAGTCACTAGATTTGTCTAACTGTGGGCTGAAAGGCCAATTGCCACCCTCCTTAGGAATGTTAAACAGTTTGCAATATTTGGACCTCTCTAATAATCACATGAACGAGTCCATTCCTCAAAGTCTAGGACAACTCTCCCAGCTAGTTGAACTCGATTTGTCTTTGAATTCTTGGGATGACATTCTAACGGAAGCCCATTTCATAAGTCTCACCAAATTGAAACGTCTTTCAATACTCAATTATATCGAGAAGCCCATGTCCCTTGTTTTCAACATGTCTTATGATTGGGTTCCTCCTTTCAAGCTCCACAAAATTGAGATTAGAAACTGTAAAGTAGGTCCTCATTTTGGGGTATGGCTTCAATCTCAGACTGAACTGGCACATGTCACCCTTAGTAGAACTGGAATATCAGATTCTATACCCAAGGAATGGTTGTTGAAGCTATCTTCCCAACTTGAATACCTGGATTTGTCTTACAACCAATTCCAAGGAAGGCTTTTATCCCAAAAATTGATGAGATTTCCGAGTCTAATTTCTATGATTTTGGATCATAATCAATTTGAGGGCCCACTTTCACTTTGGTCCACTAATGCCACTTCCTTTGATCTCGAAAGCAATTTATTTTCCGGGCCCACTCCCAACTTGCTAGAATTGTATCTTTCAGAGAATCATTTCAATGGTACTATTCCACCTTCTATTTGCAACATGCAATACTTGCAAGTCCTTTCCTTGAGGAGCAATCATTTTTCTGGAGAATTCCCTCATGCATGGAGTTCGGGGAGCCAGATAACCATAGTAGATGCTGCCTACAACAATCTCTCTGGTAATATTCCTAGTTCATTGGGGGAATTAAGTAATCTTCAAATATTGAAGCTGAACAACAACAATTTTGGCAGTAAGATTCCTGATTCTTTGCAAAATTGCTATGTTTTAAAAAGTATCGATCTTGGAGGCAACAAATTATCTGGGAGCATACCTCCGTGGATAGGAAGATCAAATGTATCCATGTTGTACATGCTACGATTGCGATCCAACTTTTTTAGCGGACATATTCTCCGACAATTGTGCAATCTTGGCTACCTTCACATCCTCGACCTTAGCCACAACAATTTTTCAGGTACTATTCCCAGCTGTTTCAATAATTTGACTTCTCTTGTTCGTGATGATTCCAATAAATCACATCGAATCTATAATGAGCAAACCATGCTGACATTAAAAGGAGAAGAACTTGTGTATAACACCACTATAATGTTAGTAAAGAGCATTGATCTTTCATCAAATAATATAGAAGGTGAAATCCCACAAGAGATAGGTAGCCTCACTTTATTAGGTACCTTGAACTTGTCGAGAAATCAATTGACTGGTAACATCCCCTCGATTGTTGGAAATATGCATGGGCTCGAAACTCTTGATCTTTCAAACAACCGTCTTTCAGGACAGATTCCTCAAACGCTTGCATCTTTAACATTCTTGGCGCACTTGAATTTGGCATATAACAACTTGGTGGGGAGAATTCCTTTGGGCAGCCAACTTCAAACGTTCACTGATCCGTCCATTTATATGGGCAATCCATCATTGTGTGGGGTTCCTCTTCCAACAAAATGCCCTGGAGATGACACTTTTACTGCTACAGATGCAAAACCCAGTAATGAAGATGGAAGTGATAAGTTGTGGTTTTATGTCAGCATGGTACTTGGCTTTGTCATGGGCTTTTGGGGCATTTGTGGTACATTATTCGTAAAGAAATCATGGAGGTATGCTTATTTTCGATTTTTTGACGACATCAAAGATAAGATAACACTGGCAATTGTGTTGAAAGTGGCTCGTTTGCAAAGAAAGTTTTCTCGTGTTTAGTAATGTACTATAATTTGACCCGGTAAAACAGTGTAATGCGTTCTATATCTATGTGTGTTTTTTCTTGAGAAAATTTTGATTAAATACCAATTTGGTTTCTTGTTTTGACAAAATAATAGTCCATCAATCATTTCTGGACGGGGTACCAAGCAAAAGCCTCAAAAACTGTTGTAGTGTTGAGCTACATAAATCAATCAATTTAAAGTCAGAAAAACTCTTGCACATAATCAGATAACCCAAAATCAAATACAAACCACTTGCAGCAGACAACGTACTGCGTATCCCCAACAAAGCAATTCTTTTTTACGACTGTCTTTATTAGTTTGAATTAGTCCTGGCTTCCTTTAAGTTCTACAATCCAATTCATTAGAAAAATAAGTCTTTTCCAGCAAAGACTAAACCAACTTTATCACTATGACTAAAAAACTGAAAACAAGAGACACCTAACACCTCTCTTTTCAACTTTGAAAGATAAGATGGTCTAGATTCGAAATTCTCTCTTAGTGACAAAAAATAAAGAATAAATATCTTAATGTGAAAAAGAGAAAAAAGATGTCAATTAAGATGGTCAAATCTTACATTGCCTCCAGAAGTCGAAGTGATGATGTGTCATGTGCAGGGCTCACTATTTTTGCTTAAATAGAATAAAATATTAATAAAAATTAAAATAATATAATTAAATAATGTAATTACTTGTTTAATTAAAAAAATATAAAAAGAAAAAAGGATTTGGGGACAACATCATTAGGGCTCGTTTGGGAATGCTTCTCTAGGAAGTACTTCTGCTCATAAGCGCTTCTAACAAAAGCACTTTTATTATAAAAATCTTGAATTTTCATAAAAAATTAAAGTGCTTCGTGGAAAAGCACTTGGGAGTACTTCCTGAAGAAGCACATAGCAGGTGCTTCTCCAAGAAGCGCTTCTATGACCCAAAAGCGCTTCTAAATTTTTCTGCCAAACGCTGTCAGAAGCGTTTTTAGTTATTAGAAAGCGCTTTTGGCCCTTTCAGAAGCACTCCCAAACAGGCCCTTAATCATCCATGATATCGTAGTTGAACCCTTTAATTAAGGAAAGAAAAAGAATTTGTAATTTTGTATATATACAATAAAATTCAATTATATCATCATGAGTTAATTTCTTTCCACCACTCACCATATATAATAAGTACTAAGAAGCTTGGTATTGGCTAGCATTTGCCCAACTAACCACTTTCTCCGAAATGGAATTACAATTTAAGCAGCCAAAAAGAAGACTACAGTTTAGTCAAGAAAAAGAAAATGCATATAATTCCATGTACCTTACTGGACTTGTTGGCAAGTCTTTACTTAGTTAAGATTTTGGTTCCTTATTTAGTTAGAATTTTGATTACTTACCAATTATTATTTAGTCCTATTGTAATAGAGATTTATTTTCTATTATAATTTAGATATATTTCCTATTTTATTTAGGATTAACACATCTTTATATTTGTATAAATACCTCCATATTGGAGAAGAATAATAATATGAGCATATATGAGCATAATTGAATATTTGCCATACTTTGTTTGACTTGGTATCAGAGCCAGGTTCTCTTGTGACATGTGCTTACGTTCTTACATTCTTCTTGCAATTTAAGTGCTCTCATCCCCTCTTCTTCAAAGGGGTAGGGGGAGTGAAAAGGGATCTGTTTCTCTTTCCTATACCTTATCTCTCTCAAATGTGTTGCTTGCCCTATTACCTTGACGTATTCCATGAAGAAATTGCTTATTTCTTGGCTCTGACAACCCATTCTCTTCAGGGGGAGTGAAGAGAAGTTGTGTCTACGTGAATTAGCTAAAGTTGATATGGAAGAATTTGTCATTGTTTTCAGCTACTGTTTATGTGGTCGTTGTCGTTGTTATGGCCGTTGCTGCCACCGTTGATGTTGCCTTTGTTTGCTTCACATAACGTTGCTATGGTCATTGCCGATGATGTTGCTGTGTTTTGATCAGTCTCTACAACATAAAAAAAAAACCCCTTAACCCTAAACACTACCTATTTCCGCTGCACTATATATCTAGCATATAATCCTAGTATGCCGCCACCGTCTACCTTGCTACTGTCGTCGCCGCCTTCCTTGCTATTGCTGCCGCTGCCGCCACCCCACCATTCATCACCATGCCCAATGTTGATGCCTTTATTTCTTCACTTGCTTCTGGTTCTACTTCACCTACTGTTGTGCTCACAGGGTTTCTATGTTCTGCCTTATCTACTACCGTGCTCACAGGGTTTATGTGTTTTGTCTTATCTACTGTAATGCTCACAGAGTTTCTATGTTCTACCTTATCTATTGTCGGGCTCGGCTCACAGGGTTTCTGTGTTCTACCTTATCTACTGTCGTGCTCACAGGGTTTCTATGTTCTGCCTTATCTACCATTGTGCTCACATGGTTTCTGTGTTTTGTTTTAATGTGTTCTTCTATGTGCCCTATTTTTTAGGGTTTGTCAGTTGTTTCACTTGTGGTTTATGACAAGACCTTCTCTACAGTTGTTCGATTGGTCAATGTCGAGTATGGTGTTCTATGACTCGCTTGTCAAGTTGGGCGTGCAAAATATATTTGCCCCAACTTGAGGGGGACTAGTGTTGGCGAGTCATTACTTAGTTAGGATTTTGGTTCGTTATTTAGTTAGAATTTTGGTTACTTACCAACTATTATTTAGTTCTATTGTAATAGAGATTTATTTCCTATTGTAATTTAGAGATATTTCCTATTTTATTTAGGGTTAACACATCTTTGTATTTGTATAAATACCTCCATATTAGATAAGAATAATAATATGAGCATATGTGAGCACAATTGAATATTTTCCATACTTTGTTTGATGCAAACCTGGAACCTTGCAAAATGGGTTAAGGACACTCAACCAATGTGTAAGGGTTTCTCACACACTCAACCAATGTGTCATGTAAATTTGAATTGGGCTACACCCATTGTCTATGAATTTATTATTATTATTATTAACATTGGTATTACGTGGACTTAAGTTGGAATAATTTTGAAGGGATCACATTCCTAAGTTCTTTGGGGAGCTTAAAACTCAGAGGTATCTCAATATCTCCTTTGCATCGTTTGCGGGAAAGATTCCCTCTTCTCTTGGTAACTTATCAAACTTGAACTCTATCCATGTCAGTTCATTCGAAGTATATTCCAAAAACTTGAATAGACTTTCTTGTCTCTCTTCCCTAAAATACCTCAATCTCAATGAAGTGGATCTTAATAGCAGCACAGGTGAACTTGCAAACCTCAAATGTAAGCAGCAATTCTTTCAGTTATCATATTCCAAAGGAACTTGCAAACCTTAAATCTCTTGAATACCTAGATTTATCAGATTTGGGGCTCAAAGGTAGTGGAGTTCCTAGAGTCATTGGTTCTATGTCAGTGTTGAGTCTCAAAAAATCCAAGGCTGGGACCAAATATATTTCTAGCCCAGTACGACACCTAACTTGGGAAGAAACCCGACTTGAATACGCAAGAGTTCGTCATATGTGCTTGCACACATGCCATGCCAAGCAAATATGCAACATTCCACGCAGAAAGGTCGTAACAAGCTTGTAAAATGTACTAGTTCTATGAACCCATGCTCATTATCCCGTCAAGCGCCATTTTGGCCCCGCCATAGCCCTTACAAAACGGCAAAGCTCGAGCATAAGCACGCCAAATAACACGCCACGCCAAGTGGAAAATCCTTATTTTTGCACCAAGCCACGCTACAAGCTTAAGTGGGCCCAAGCCACGTGAATGTCTAGGGCTTGCTGAGCGAGTTGTGGTATGAATGGTTATGAGTATTCATTAGGCCCATTGATGGTCCAATGAGTGGAAGTTTTGGGTTGCTTGGGCCCATTCCTTGAGCTCAAACATATGGGTAAGCATGAAAGAGAAAACCCAATAGCCTATCACCTTAAAAAAAAGGCCCAAACATCTTAGAAAATATCCAATAGCCATAGCCCACAACACTTGGAAATATCCCACATCAGTCAAACTATCCAGCACCTTGTCAAAACCAAGGCAAACCCATATGCACAGGTTGCTAGACGTAAATCACCTTTTGACCAGCACCCTTACCCATTATTTCCTCTGCAAGCTCTGGTGAGAAAACAAGAAGGAAAAGCAAGAGACACCTCACCCAAATAGAGGAGTCCAGCTACAGGAAAGTCTTGGAACCCCAAAAAGCTCTGCTCTTATGTGCTTGGGTTCAGGAGATTTCACCAAAATGGAAGAAAGTGAAGAAAAATGGAGAAGAAGACTAGATAAAATTGGGGGCTTCCAGCGCCTATAAAAGGAGGCACCTTCTACCAAGCAAAATAACCGATCCAGATTGAGGAACATCCTTACTCATTGCTGGAAGCTTCAATTTCATGCTATATTCTTCCATCTTCTTCCTCTATTTTCCATAATCTCATCCAGATAGAGCAAGCATCACCTCTCACCTCTGGAACCCTTCGATTTCAAGCTCTGTTCTTCCATTTCTTCCCCTTTTTCTCTTCTGGCAAGCCACCCAAGAGCCTGACGAAGCTTTCGTCAAGCTGCTAGAAAGCTGCTAAAGCCACCCATGCTTCCATCTTCTTCCTCTCGCTCCCATAAACGCATCCAAAGAGAGCAAGCATCACCTCTCACCTAGGAACCCTCCGATTTCAAGCTATGTTCTTCCATTTCTTCCCCTTTTTCTCTTATAGCCTAACACTCAAGAGCCTTATGAAGCTTTCGTCAAGTTTCCGGAAACTTGCTTAAGCCACCCATTCCTCCACCTTCATCTTTCCCTCTCTTCCCTCAACAAATCCTCACAAAATTCCCTCTCCCCTTACTTTGAACCTCTGTTTCTCATAGGAAACCCAAGCCTTCTCTCTCTAATGCAAAACTCATAAGTGCTCAGCTCCCATGCCACAAGCTTCTCATGTCAAGCCTAAATATTTATCTGTAAGCAACTGTTGGTTTTGTTGGTGAAGGAAGCCAAGGTGTTTCCTAAGGCTCCATGAACATTTTGAAGCACTCGTGGGGCCTAATTCTTGAACTCAGACATAAGGGCAAGTCCACCCATTTGCTATTTACAACAGCCCAGACCCATCTGTAACTGCCGGAACGAAAAAGCCCCTACAGTTAGCATGATCCTTGGCTTTATTATTGGCTTTTGGGGCGTTTGTGGTACATTACTCGTGAAGAAATCCTGGAAATATGCTTATTTTCAATTTTTTGATGATGCCAAAGATAAGGTAACACTAGCAATTGCGTTGAAAGTGGCTCGTTTGCAAAGAATATATGTGTATTTTCTTGGAAAAATTTAAATAAAATACAGTTTGTCTTTGATGCAAATCCCTATGAATGTTTTGCTCGACACCTCACAAATCTTTGCTTCGCTCTGCATCACCATCTCTTCTGCATATAATGTTTGGCTATATGCTCAACCTCATAGAAGTCTGATGACATGGAAAAAAGAAACTCATAAGAAGAACTTTTCTTTTTTATGCTTGGACATGCATATATATATGCAAGGCCAAAGAACTTCCTCTCAAGGCTCTGAGCCCAGATGGATTACATGCTATATATAAATTACCGCCATTCTTAAAATCTGGTTAAGAATTTGATTCATGATATGTAGTTTCAGAAAAAAAAAAAAATTCCAACTGATGATTATGATTTTTACTTGGTTGATTATCACTCAGTTCTTAGTTAAAGATATCAAATTGATATTGATTTTGAGTTATATGCTCTAATTTTTACTTTCTTAGTTAAAGAGATATCAACACTACTATCACACTTTAAAGCCTTGCAAACATATAGAAGCGATCTCCACAAAATATATTTCAATGGGAAAATGAATATTATTGTAAGTTATTTTCCTTTTTGTTGGTTTAGCTTTGTGGTGACATGCAGGCTAGTGATCTGCGGTTCGATCACATATGACACCGTTCGATCCCACATGAGACCGTGTGTGTGAGAATTCCCCTTCCCTTTCAGGAACCGTTCGATCCCACATGACATCGTGCGTGTGAGAATTTCCCTTCCCTTTTCGGAAAATAAAAAGGCTGAGTCCTCCAGCCATAGAATTATTAACCATGGTAATATCCTCATCCTCATGAGCGGTAAATGAAAAGAACTCATTTATAAAACATGTAATTTTATTTATTAATTTCACTAATACACGAGATATGAGACGCTTATAGGTCTCATATCAAGATTGATGCAGAGAAGCTACAAAATATTATCATTCATGGCAAGTTTTCCTTAGTTTCTTCAGCCACACAAGGCTTAAGGCAGCGGCACTTGCGTAGGATATGGGAGCATTTGCCATAGCCATAACCCTCACTGTGGCATCTCACCATACAGTTTCTGTCTTTGATGCATAGCCCTATGAATGTTTTGCTTGTCACTTCACAAATCTTAGCTTCACTCTGCATCACCATCTCTTCTGCGATATATTACCACAAATATTAATAAGTTCTTTTATCAATTATTGTTACAAAGAGGAGAGCGGAGAGAGAGAGTACTTACGAGAAGTTAGAAGGATGACCAAGATCAAAACAAGACCAAACAACTTCCTCTCCATGTCTTAATCTTCAGATTTCTAATTGTACACTGAACTCTAGATCTGTCTTTCAACACTCTGTGTGTGTATATATATATATATTATTACCAGTCACACGTCATTCATGGGTTCTTTGGCATTCTAGACCCTACCTTTCTTAAAGTATGCATGGATTTTCAGGATTTGGTAATTAATGAAAATGCATTCAGATGTTTTGCTTACAGGTGGATCTAAAGCTTACTGTCGCTTTCATCAAGTATAGACATCTGTTGGTGTTTCCAGTAAACCATGGTATGCGTTGTCAATTAGAGGACAGTGTGTCTGTGGGTGGAAGAGCCATCTGGGTTTATCCAAGGACACTCTACTAGAACACTCCAACCTCGTGAACATCTCAGAAGAGAAAAGTAAAAAAAAACTCATCCAAGGACTTTTCTTCTTGTACCACTCGTTACAATATACAAGTCATATGGACACATGTGGATGTGAATAAAATAATTTTACGTTCAAAAGTATTTTTCTTTTTAGAAAATTTGAGATCAGTCTAAAATTGAGAACATAAGTTCGGTTTAATATTCGTATTTGTTGTCGTTGATTAAGAATATACATAGGTTAATGAATCCCATAATTTCTAAAATCATTAATTTCTTCTTTTTCTTCTTCGTAAAGTAACATATGTATGTTTTTCTATGCTCTCGACCTGGTATATAGTAGGTGTTTTAGTTTATGCACATGAGTTTAGGTAACAAATTTTATTTTTGTTCATCCTATAGTAGAGGTATATTATAGGGTGAATCATACCAGGGAGGCCATTGTTACCCTGATTGCATTTGCTGGATGAATTGTTAATCAAATTATCATCATCTTACCAACATTCAATAAAAGTACTTTATCTTGAAGATTTTGTGCTCTTATTTCATCAATTAGTTCAAAGTGCGACTCTTAAATTAAACTTAAACCTGATGCCGATTTAATTTTGAATTCTCATTACCATGGCTTGTAATATTGAAGAATTCGAGTTATTGCACATCATTTAGCTTTAGCTTTAATGGTTAAGAGCAAGGACGGTCCCATGAACATGTTAACCTGGGCTATAGCCCAGGGAACTTCTCTTTTTTGGGACTAAATTAGTTCTCTAGCCTAGGCAATCAGCCGGCTGACAAGAAGAAAGAACAGAGGAAGAAGAAAGAAAGAAAAAGGAAGAGAGGAAGAAGAAGGGAAAAGAATAAAAAAACAGAGGGGGAGATGATAAACAATCGGAAAGAGAGAGAGAGAGAGAGAAGAAATAGAATAAAAAAAGGGAAAGGAGGAAATAGAATATAAAAAAAGGATGTGTGTGTTGGGATGAGATATGTGTTTTTATTTTATTTTTACTTCAATTCCTCCTAAATATTTCCCAGTACATGTGTAGCTTTCCTCTTTTTTTTTTTTTTTTTTTTCTTTGTTTCCCTTCAATCCCTTCCAAATATTTCAACAATATTATCAATAATTCCAAGATTTTTGTCTGTTTTAAATGTCAGTAGAATAGAAAAAAAGCTCTAAATATGATAAAGAATATATATATATATATATATTGGAAAAAGAGGGCTTATAATTTTTTTTGGTAACAAACAAGAGCTTATAATTTACCCCCAAAAAAAGGTATCCATTAAACACAGTCTAAAAAAATATATCAATCATTGGATTCGTTTCAACATTTAGCCTACTCCTACAAATATTCCTAACTTCGCCCTTGAATTTAGCCCATGTTATTTTCAAATCCTGGGTCCGTCCCTGAGCATTTCCATACACTCGAAGTTGTATTTGATTCACCTCCGAAAGTGGAGAAAAACTTGCATATACCGAAGATACCATTGTGACGTTATCCTGAGCCAATCATCCATTGCCATGTGTTTTAACTTTCCGACAGGGCAATACGTGATAAACTTGAGATACCGACACAGTGGCATCGCTATTACATGTGAGTTCTTCTCCCAAAAGTGTCCCAATATTGTTTGTGTCAAAAAGGAATTCTCATTACAAGATACGTGTGACTAAGAGCTCATAAGCCGGCTTGTATAACCATGACCGAATGACTCGTCAGAAGTAAAACATAAAGACTAAATCGTTTGTGCATGTGTTCAATCCCATTTCTCCAGCATTAAAAAAAGGTTAAACTTCAGTTCAGACCCAATATTTAGTGGTCAATAGCAACGACATTGGTATTTGTTTGGGTGCTTTAAAATAATTTGATGAAATTTCAACATGCAAATCAATTTGGAATTACCAACACTAATTTACACATTTGACATCTTCAGTATCAATGAAACTAAAAACTTGGCTCATCTCAATATTGTACCAGATATTTATCAAAAGAAAAAACAAAATATATTGTACTAGACAGACAATGCACATACAATACCACATCAACAATCTAATTGACTGTAAAATGTATGTAATAATAAGATTTTCAATTGGTTTCCAAGTCATCTCTCTCTTTTGGTTGTCTTATTTTGCAGACAAACCAAATTCAATCACAGGGCAGCACAACTCAATCACAGTAATGAAAATGAGAAGAAACTCCTAATTCACCACTCAAGCAGGTCCTGATCGGTTTTGGCTCCGTTCGGGCAACTAACTCTTTTGGATTACGCCATTCTCCTTCAAGTACTCAACAAATTCGTCAATAAGATAGGGCCAGGCACCTTCGGCGTCATAATTTGTGAGTGATGAATCCACAGCCTACAAACACAAAGTTTAAAGTCAACCAAAGAAAAACAAAAACAGAAGAAAAAAGGAGTAGCCTTGTTCAGAATTCAGATTAGCATGAAGGACGAGGCAACCGGATATAAATCATGCTCATAAGAATACATACTTATGTTCCTTTTCCCTTATTGTTTGTTTTTTTTTTAATTTTGGTGACACTTTGATGCTTGATATCTTACCCTTGCAAACTCTAATAGTTGAGACCATGTGTCCCTTGAAATTGCCTTGTTATGCCGAGCCTGAAATGAGTGGATGAAGAAAAAAATTATTAATAGATGCACGTCGAGAATATAATAAAACTAAAGAGAAGAAAGTTATGCATGGAGTATGGCAGCAAAAAACATAACTCCTACATTTTTCCTTGGTGCCATAAGAAGAAACTATATATTTCTCACGATCACTTTGGGACACCCATGCAATTTCAAGGCACACATACTTTCTAACATATAACAGGTGTTATAGTGTTTAGTAAGAAAATGACGTAGGGCTAAAGGTAAATGTATGAAGCCTCCAATTTTAGAGATATTTATTCATATCAAACATTCATGACATTCAAGGGGGAAAAGAAGTTCACAATGATTAATATAAATGACTATTGCAGCCCAGTGTAGCTGCTACTTTCAACAAATACTCAATCCCATAAATTACCTGTAAGAACTGACACCAATGATCAACAAACGGCCACTGCTTTTCAGCAAACAGTAATTGCCACATTCCAATTGCAGTATCCAATGCCAAAGATTTCTGACCCTGAAATGAAAATGAAGCAGCATATATATGTATATGTATACACACACATATACATAGATCAAAACCAGAATTTATCTGAGATACCTTTAACAACAAAAATCTTATTGTTGAAATTGTTCAAGGTACTGAAAAACAACATGAAGATACCAGTTGACATTCAAGCATGTTATCTATAATTCAAACTATGAAAGATGCATCACACACAGACTATTTCAAAAGCTGTAGCTTAATACATTTTAATTATATTTTAATGCACAATTTTTATTTTTATTTTGCCAATAGGTATTAGGTAGGAAGGTGAGGGGGACTGTACAGTAAATGGGTATCACAAGATTTCAATAACTCATGCTAGTTCAAACCCGGGGGGCAATTGGGGTGGAAGGGGAAAGGTTACCGCTCAACCACAGCGGCTTAACCCAATTGTCTGTTTTAATGCACATTGAGGTCCACATGTTTCCATTCTAAATTTGCACCCATCAAGAATATCAAAGGATTCTTCCTAGTTTTACCTATCAAATTTGAGAGATAAGCATAGTCAAGAAATAGAACAAGCCAAAATCTCCATGCACCAAAAACACATACCTTTTCTTTGGCCCAGCCAAAAGCAAAATTATATATCTCACGAAACTTTTCTGGAAAATCAAAAGAAGATCATTTCAGCAATGGAGAACAAAGGTACCATACCTCTCACAAAAGTGAAATGAAAACAATATCTTTAAAGAAGGGTCAAGCTATTTCAACAAATATATTAACATTATAAGTATCCACAAAAGGCAAACATGACAAACAGATCAATTTTTGAAAACACTATAATCACATACGTTCATCTTTCAGCTCAGATCGCATAAATGGTATCTTTTCACGGAATTTCTCCAGAGAATCTATCCTGCCATCAGAAAACGTAAACTTATATGTTTACTGAATTCCTCACATAGTAGTTACGGACTAAATACCGACTGTAATTTGAGCTTAGAAGAATAAAATACATATCAAAAACCTTTTGTACCTACCCCAGTGTTTCTAATCCATCTATGAACTCCTGCTTGGAAAATTCACACATGGTGGCTGCCTTCATGTGCCAGGAGACAACTAACTGCATCAACAGCCCATCGTGCCAAAAATAACCAGCCAAGTCATAAGCATAAGTTGACAAATGTAGGCAAACTAAAAGCAAAAGTTCACCAAGCAAATTGCAAACATATATTTGAGTCTTCATTGCCTACATATCCATTTCTTTTATATAGTTCAAGATAATTTCACCAATGCCCCTAAATTTTAGCATGTGTCCTATAGTAGTCTCCAAACTTGAAAAAGTAACATTTAACACCCTAGAAATCTTATTTTAGCCTGTTCCATAAAGGCAATAAGCCCCACTTAGAAAACTACCGTATCTTCCGCAATCTTACTAAAAAGTTCCCTGAACTTCTGATGAACTTTCAAACATAATGGTTGTTAAGTTCAAAGGGACATAACTTTATGGATTGAATTTTAATATTGCCGCAACAATGATTTGGCTACACTTGGAAGGAACTTGGTAAGCACGCACATCTTGATCTGAAAAGATTTATGCATTCATATATACGTACCATGACTATATCTTGAGGATCCACCTGTCAAATTATGGAGGCTTACTTGTTAGGCAAAAAAAGAGAGAAAAAATAAGAAAGAAAACAATCATAAGAAACAAATAACAATGTTACAGTCCAGTAATTGAGACAGTTACTATCTGTACCATTCAGTTACCTGAAGATCATTGCAAAGGATGCTGATACCATCAGCGAGTATCATGTCAGCACATGGATCTGAGAAAAATTATATTTCATCAGTAAAAGGGGAATTCTGCAAACCATATAAATTTAGTTTTAAAAAATCACAAAAAAAAAGGACAAAGAAAGAAAACATTTGATGGATTATTTTTATTCGCCAATATATGTTCGAGTAACACAAAGTTGATGAGGAAGCTTTACAAAAACCAACTCCATCAAACTTTTTATTATCTAGCATTTATATTTTAATCAGAGTGAAAAATCTATCATGCTCACTACTAAATTATTAGGATTCAAGTATTCATCTATTACAAAATTGATACAATTTTAGACTGACACTTGATGGTTGTGGATTTATATACTGATTTACATCTCCATCTATTCCATTTCCTATGAATGCGCTATAAAAAAGTGCAATAAGGTCTAGATTGAGGACAAGAATGAGCGGAAAGGAAGAGCTTGCCTTTATATCTATTATATAATTCCTCCAAATGTCTAGAATCAGTATTTGTTTGCAACTGGGGCTGACTGTAGAATACATCAAATGCTCCTTCAAGATGCCAATCACTCGACTTCAAAGCCTGCAGAGCAACTTTTTCACTGAATATGATGGGAAGTTAGACTTTTCAACTATTCCAAGAATCAAACTGACGCTACTCAAGAAGAGGAAGAAAGAAAAAAGGTATGGAAGAACTCCACCAATCTAATACAAATCAGGTATGCGTCTGCACACACATTTTTTCCAACTCAACTTCAAAAGATACATAAACAAGTAGACCATTACAACTGCTCAACTCAACCAACTCTAGCACAGTACAAACGCACGTGTGTCCCTTAGAAAGGAAAAATTGATATTGAAGTTACATGTGACCCTTCATGATCAACAACTAAACACACAACATCAACTGGTTCAAATGCCTGCTTTAAATATCAATGCATGACAGATGCAAGCTAGCAAAACTTCAACATCTAAATGGGTTTTAATAAAGACCCATGAACCTAGGCATGCTTATAAGATTCTTATATTGAGATACTATCAGCACTGTGGTTAATGCATTTCATTTACAGCAGGATTCAGACATAAAAACACTTATCACCTCTCACACAACCTGTTTTTCACAATATTAAAACAAGCTTGTCACACAGGAATAAATCATTTAAGCTACTCGCATATTTGTTTAGAATAAAGCCAAACTCAAAGAAGCATAGTATTCTCCAAAAACTCCTTTCTTAAGACAGACTACAGAAAATTTACATATGATTATCAATTACCTCGCTCCAGTTATTGTTATGAACTGCTGGAGCTTTTCCCGGTGGCCTCTACCCAATTTGTGCTGTCAAAACGAAATGGTGAAGCAGGTGAGACCATGAGGGAGAAAGAGAGAACAAAACAAAACAAAATTATGCATGCACATCAGTTGTGTGTTGCTAATCATAAAGGTTATTTTTCCGTCAAGAAAATCTAAAATATAAGAGAATAGTCTTTAATTTCACATTAGAAAAGGTTTTCCATGGCAAAAAATTTATTTTATATCAATTTGCTTCAAAACCTGAGAAACCAACAGCCTCTGCTAAACTGAGCTTTACACGGAAGAGAAAATAAAATTCCTTAACTAGCATACGTTCTCAAATTCAAAATACACATCTCTTTATTTCCTTTTCCTCAGCTTTCTCAGCTGCCAAGCAGAGCGTTCAACAAACAATAACAACGTTATAGCCACTAAAAAATTGAAACTTCGACATGACAGCGGCAGAGAAGTGTTGCTAGAATTTGCAGAACTAGTTACATCCAGAACAAACCATGAAAAAGAAAAAAGTGAAACAGTAAAGTTTAAGATTAAAGTACAAGTAGCAAAGCGAGAGGCTGATCAGAAACAGTATCTATACATGAAACCGAAAGTCTCAAATATATAATCCAACAAAAACAATGACATAAACAGAAATTGAAAATAAAGCTCGAAATTAGAGTACTTACCATCTTTGAGGTGGTTGATGAGGAAATCCTAGAGCTTGAACAGCTCCTAGGGACAGAAAATTAGGTTTTACTCAATTTCTCTGTAATACGCGAATAGAGAAATACTGAATCCCTCTGTATCTATCTCTATGGGGGGGTCTGGGTTCTTTGTTTTTCCGTGTTTTTAATTGTTTTTTTTTTTCAGACCAAAAAAAAAATATTCCTTTTTTGCTTTGTTTTTATTTTTTATTTTTTATTTTCTTTTTATTGTGAGAGCCACATGTATTCTACTTTGTTACCGCTTATAGACATGTGACACGACTATCTTTAGCATGCATCAATCGTTAGATGCGTGTGTAATCACTTTGAAAACTATGTACAAATGTTTCGTATCACTTAATTAATATGATATCTTGTTCGTCGTTAAATGCATTTGGGATGCATTGTGAGAGCCACATATATTATGCTTTGTTACCATTTATAAACATGTGACACGATTGTCTTTAACATGCATCAACTGATCAATGCATGTGGAATCATTGTAAAACCTATGTACAAATAGTTCGTAATCACTTAACTGATACAAAATGCATTGGCTACTAAATGTGTGTGGGTTCCATTGTGAGAGCCATATGTATTCTAATTTGTTACCATTTATAAACATGTGACACGACTGTCTTTAATATGTATCAATCGTTAAATGCATGTGAAATCACTATAAAAACTATATACAAATTATTCGTAATCACTTAACTTAAACAACATGCATTGGATGTTGAATGGGTATGGGTTCTATTGTGAGAGCCACATGTATTCTACTTTGTTACCATTTATAAACATGTGACATGGTTGTCTTTAACATGCATTAATCGTTAAATATGTGTGGAGTCACTATAATTTTATGTACCAATTGTTTGTAATCACTTAATTGATATAACATGCATTGGTTGTTGAATGAGTGTGTGTTCCACTGTGAGAGCTATATGTTTTCTATTTTGTTACCGTTTATAAACATGTGACATAGTTGTCTTTAACATGCATCAACTACTAAATGTGTTTGGAATCACTATAAAACCTATATACAAATAATTTGTAATCACTTAACTCATACAACATACATTGGTCGTCGTCAAATTGAAAATGTTAACATTTTCAAAATTTGACATATGATCCAATGTAGTTTTAGTTTTAGATTTTACAATCTAATTTGATGAAGCTAAGGCTAAAATCCAGTCCAATCATGTTGATGGTTTTAACATTTTGATTTAAATGAATTGGATGATCCATTGTTTAATACAGGGAAAACGAATTGAAACGTAAAAGAAATTATAATCAAATCAAATACAATCACAATTAATAAGAAAAATAGATGGAAATGAACATTTAATTTTGGCACAGTCCTACGACCCTTCCACACTTATGCATCAGTGTACGTATTTATTCAAATTTTCTCATTTGCACGACTCGGTATTTCAAATTGCCCAATCTAAAAAACCATTCAGCTCAGCCCAATAAAACTGGTCCAGTATGTAACCAGGTCATTCATTGGTACCAAAGAGTGTAAAGCTTTTCTGGCCCAATATAGTCTTCCGGTTTTTTTTCTTTTCAAAATGGCGCATTCTCGTGGAAATAGAAACTCCTAGGTTCCTGTCAATTACAGTTTGACATGTGTGCAAAGAAAATTTCTTTTTGTATTTTGATGAATTGTCAAACTGTGATTTGTTAGAGCGAGGTGTGTCTCCTTCCAGGAAATAAGGCAAGCGGGCACATCTAATGAATGCACATCAAAATTATTATAATTTAATCTGCGTGGTATGAACAAGATGAAGACAAATTCTTCAAGTAAGATACTATAATTCCATCCACACACATTTAATATATTCGTTGCACAAAAGTCAGCTCTTATGCTCCAATAGGCAAACATACTAAAAAATCGTCTTCAGTTTCTGAAAACTGCTACTAAAATATAAATTTTAAGAGTGCGTGGTATCAGACCGGCATAGTCCATGCTTATCTACTGATTATAATATTAAATTCAAGTTTCTATCAGATTCTTTCTTTACTTGGGTTAATAAACATTATAGTATAGTAAACCTTGTATATCTGCCTATTTTGCTTTATATATTGAGCTGCAAATGCTTGCCTTCCTAGCAAATTCTTTCTGCTGAGAAAAATGGTGACAGATCTTCGAACAGATTCTTCGGATTACCGGACTGAGCTTCTGTCACCGGACGTGACAGGAGAGGCTGTGACAATGCCAACTGAGGCAGCATGGAGGCTCAATATGGATGGCTTCAAGCTTCCAGACAGAAACAAGGATTCTTATTTTGGCTTTGGCTCTTTTGTTGAGTCATTAAGTAAAAGCTCTTATCTTATGTCCTTCTCTTTATGCAGTACTTTCATACACTTTATGTCAATTTAATAGATGTGATTGAGAAAGACAAATTGTATTTGTCTTAAAACTTATATTAACATTGAAATTCTCTCTATTGCTATCACAGGGAGGCAAAGAAAAATTGCAGAATATTACAAGAGGCAGAATAAACTTCTCAAAGGATTCAATGAGTTGGACTTATTTTCGGAAACGGGGTTTTGGCCTGGAAGTTTAACAGAGGTTTGCTGTTAATTTGCCTTAGATTAGTGTTAATTTGCAGCTATAAAATGATCTCCACTAATTCAAATCTTGGATTTTTCTTAATTATTGCAATTTGCATACAAACTCTTGATTTCAGGATGAGGTGAACCAGCTTGCAAGAAATGAAAGGATAGCAATATATGCATCCAATGTGGCTAATTTAGTGCTTTTCCTGGCAAAAGTGTATGCTTCATTTGAAAGCAGATCATTAGCAGTAATAGCTTCAACATTGGATTCTCTGTTAGACCTCTTGTCAGGGTTCATTCTTTGGTTTACTTCTAATGCAATGAGAAAACCAAATCAATACCGGTACCCGATTGGCAAGAATCGGATGCAGCCTGTGGTAATCATATCCAATAATTTGAGGTGACATCAGACAAAAATATGCACACAGGAAAAGATTTCAAGCTTATTAAACCAATATCTTTCTAGGAGCAACATTTTAATATGGGAACATGAGACCAAATTTGTCAAGAAATTGGTTCCAAAGTTTGTAGGGAATTTTTGTACAGTATGAGAACATTTCACTTGCAATTTTCTCCATGATTCGTATACTAAATCTCAAATGCATTGCAGGGAATTGTTGTTTTTGCATCAGTAATGGCAACTCTTGGATTACAAATCTTGTTCGAATCGGGACGGCAACTTCTCATAAAGGTATGTAAGAGTTCATCAGTTGATAGTAGAGCAAGAAGTCTTGAACACAGTCAGTGAGTCAATATATATGATTATATCTGCATTTCCAACTCATTCTCCTATAGATTAATATGGTTTGCAGCATCAAGTTTTTCCTTATGGAGTGAAATTTTGAACACCAAAAAATGTAAATAGGTCCTTATGAATTTCTTTCCATGTAGGCTCAACCTGATAGGGACCCAGTGAAGGAAAAATGGATGATAGGGATCATGGTGTCTGCCACAGTGGTGAAGTTTGTACTGATGGCATATTGTCGTAGATTCAAAAACGAAATTGTTCGAGCATATGCTCAAGATCATCTATTTGATGTCATCACTAATGGAATTGGTCTTGCATCAGCAGTTTTAGCAATCAGGTTTTACTGGTGGATTGACCCTGTTGGAGCTATCATTGTAAGTCCAAGATATTAATTAACACCTAATTTTGTTACAACACCATTTTGGTCTCTGTGTTTTGAATTTGACAAATTTGGTCCTTGTCCCTTTTGCCTAATTTGACATCAACATATTAAAACACGGTGACCAAATTGGCCAAATTGAGAAGACAAGGAACGAATTGAAAATCCGAACAAAACACAAGGATATCTAACCCAAAACTATTTTATGGCAACAAGTGTAATTGATATTTGAAATACAATGCCTGCAGATTGCTTTGTATACAATGGGAAATTGGGCAAAAACAGTGATGGAAAATGTGTGGTCGCTGATTGGGAAGACAGCACCAGCAGAGTACTTGGCAAAGTTGACATATCTGATTTGGAACCATGACAAGGAGATCCAGCACATTGAGACAGTGAGAGCCTATACTTTTGGTGGCAACTATTTTGTGGAAGTTGACATAGTCTTGCCTGGGGACATGTCTCTTAGTCATGCACATAACATTGGAGAAACACTTCAAGAGAAGCTTGAAAACCTTCCTGAGGTTGAAAGAGCTTTTGTTCATGTGGACTTTGATATTACTCACAGGCCAGAGCACAAGCCAAAGTTGGCTTCATGATCAAGAAACACAAGACAAGAACAGTAGCTAAGTGTTGTTTGAACTAGCTCTTTTTTCAATTATTAAAAATCAATCCCAACATTTGAAGAAGGGAATTGAACATAGAGTAGGCCACAGTTATTGAACTACTTATCTGTATGAATAAAGTTTATATGTTTATTTCGAGCTACTTGAACGAAGAAAGTAAAAATTTAGACTGTGAGATAACAACGATTAATACCTCGAAATTCTCTGCTATTGACATTAGTGCATCATCTGTTCGGTTACTAGACACCAAGGAATTAGTGCATACAGTATCATCAGGCATATCTGTGTCGTATGAACTTTCAGACTCCTGTATAATTTTGTACTCTGGCCATACATTGTTGCTTGCAACTGTTCACAAATGAAAAATAAATAAATACAGGTTCTCAAGAAAGTCCTATTCTATTCCTGTAACAAGGAAAAAACGCTGTGCCTTTTAGAAGTACTGCAGGAGTGGTTTCATCAGAGCTACTGTCAGCCAACTGAGAACTTATCCTCAATCGTTGACAATCATGTTCATGACCAGTCCGAGAATGCTTGACCTGCAAATCAAAGGAAAAATTAATGAATTCAAATTGCATTTGATCTCTAAATCTGTCACTACTTAGAAATACATAATATATTCTAAAAAAAGAAAAACATCATTTATGTCAAAACATTTAATTGTATCTATACTATTATTAAGGGTTATATAAGTAATTAGCATTTTAATAAAATAACAAATATTTATTCTAATATTATGTAATCTACTTATAGACGATGAAATAGCTATTCGTTTTTATTTATTTATAGAGATAAAGGCGATAATGCATTTATAATTCAAAGGGTTAATACAAGTATGAAAGTGCAATAATCCCAAAGGGTTAATCCAAGTACGAAAGAAACCACCGACAACAAGAAGCCCCCCAAAATGTATCTCCAAGTATAGCCACAAAAGGCCAAAGAGATTTCAACATAAAAGTCGCAAGCCTAGAATAAGGCATAGATCACAACGCACCTCAATGCCCAAATAGCTATTGTTTGGTAATACTCCTTTTATTTCTTCTTCTTTTTTCTTTTTTTTTAAAGAAGAATAAAAAAGAAAAAAAATGTCACACGCCCGTTTAATGTCAAACTTGGAGTTTTCGTCCCATAAAAAAATGTCAAACTTGGAGTAAGTTTGGGAGCAAAAAGTTCAATGACATTTATTTTTGGATTAACTACATTTTACTCCCTTCATGTTTAGTGTCATTATCGAAATGGGCCATTAGTTTTCAATTTCATCAATATGAAACCCAACGTTTTAAAATCTAACTAAATTACGCACTCCATCAACTTCACCGTTTGATTTTATGTTAAATTGGTGATGTGGATGGTAGGATAGTCACTTATATGTTGATGTGTAAAAGAAAACAATAAAGCAAATGGCAATGGTGTACATAATTTGACAACAATTTAACAGAAAATCAAACGGTGAAGTTTACGGAATGCGTAATTTGATCATATTTAAAAACGTTGGGTTTCATATTAATGAAATTGAAACTTCAGGGCCCATTCCAATAATGACGCTAACCTATAAATAGTAAAATGTAGTTAATCCTAATAAGTACTTTTTCGATTTTATCATGTTTAATGTGTCACGAAATACCCAAATAATTGGCTTTCATGTTGTGTTTGGATTGTGGCTGATCATCAGTATGTAAAGCATGTGTGACCTTATCTAGTTTCTTCAATTGGCCTTATGTATCCTTCTTCTCTTTTTTGTTGAACGAAAAGGCTTTCATTTAAGAGCAAAGGAGGAGTACAGAGAAAAGATAACTCAGGGACAGAAGGCTAGCCTCGCAGAGTCTAGAAATCATAGATTTTCCCCACAGAAAAAAAAAATTTCAAACTATTATACTTATGGGGGACTAGGAAGTCCATCAGAAACCAGAACCCTAAACCCTATGTATCCTTCATTTATGTTGCAGGTTCCGCCATATTCTTGTTTAAAGTTTTCTAGTGGGAAGCAAGTCAATCTTGGCGCTTGATTGAGTGCCATATATTATGCCCCTTGCAATTGGGTAAACATTTACACTCATTCGCTTCTGCATTATAGAAGAACAGATGATCACCCATTTGATTTGATATTTGTCACATCAAATGGCTAAAAACATATGGAATTATGAGCCAATCACTTACCTCTTAAGTGTTTTTTTTATTGAATTCCAAACATTAGGCTTTTAGGAAAACCATAAAACTACGTGCTACACGTAGTAGACTTTTGCCATGTGAGCAACCAACTTAACTAAGATGTTATGCTTAACACTAAACGAAGTCGCAAAGGGATTATAGTTCAATTGATTAAGAATATTTAATCTTATATTCAAGATTCTAGATTCAATTACTCGCTCTTTTAATATCGCGCATATATATATATATATATATACACTAAATGAGGTCACTCTAAAGTATACATTCTTCAGCCAAATTAATTACTCTAACCTTCCGTTTGGATGAAGAAATTGAAAATTACATAGAATTCTAAAATGATGGAATTTAGATTTCCATCATTTCAATTTCTAGCAATTGAAAATTTCAGTGTTTGAATTTATGTATGTCAAATTTTGTAAATGGCACTATGGAAATTGTGAAATGACGCATATTTTTGTGGAAATTAAACTCGGAAATTTGATGCTCTAATTTCCACAATTTTTTCCGCATGTCATTTAATCAATTCCGTGCTTAAGTTGCCAAACAAGGGAATTGTCAATTTATCCTCTTAAATTCTCGACTTTTTGTTAAATTCTGAGTTATTTTCCCTCATCCAAACCACCTAAAGTATATATTTTACCAAGTTTTATAATTCTAATCCAAATGAACCAATGTGGATATCAAATCCTGACAAATAAAGACGGGATATCTCATGTGTGCTTTCCCCTAAATTAGGTAATACCACTGTTTAGTGGGTGGTTGGACATTCTATTCCCATTGCTTTTGCCAAATTGGAGCACATGATATTCTCAATCTCAAGAAAGGAGTCTCGTGCTCAAAGAAAGTATAAAATTAAATTTTAAAACGGGCATAAGTCTATCCCGACGAACATTGTTCGACATAGAAGCAAATTTGTTGAGTAAGTCTATGCCGACAAGAACTCACTAAGATAGACTTATCCCGAAAAATATCTTCAAAATCAATAACAAACTTTCAACAACAAAAAAAAAAAAAAAAAATCATACTAAACGAGAGGGAAAAAATGGTTCAAATATTTGAGTAGGAAACCCCTAGAAATCGCTTAATATAATTCACTAATTTTGACCAAATATTTGAGTATGACGAGGCATCCAGATTGAAAAAGTGTGACACTAACAAATAACATATTAATTTGTGCTTCTGTATGATTGAATCTTTATCAAAGGATCGGCCAACTTTTGCCAACTCAGCCATGTAAAAGGGATATTAGATAATCTTCAACCATTACTATATAATATTCTTTCGATCACCAAAAACTTTATATTTGTCGGGTTTTGGCTGCACCTCATATTTTTTTTCACAAGTGGAAAACATATCTCATTGTTTAAGATCATCTCACTACAAAAAAAGAAAGCATTAGTCACATTTTTATAGCAACAAAATAGTTTTGGTGACATTTGAATGGGTGGTCAATGACTTTGGTTACTAGTCACCATTATTTGTGATTAATTATCTCACACTTTAAAGAATTGGTGAGTATTGATTTAAATATAATAAATATAAAGCAGCTGACGCATGAACAGTAATTTTTTGAATATAATATTTGAGGATAATCTTCTTTGAGAGTAGTAATCCAATTAAATATGTATAGAACACAGCAAAAAGGAAATACGTATACAAAAATAATTAAATATTACAATGGTTAACCAATAAAGTATTGCAAATTTATCTAGATTCAAAGAAAACAATTTATTACAATTTAAATTAACTTTCCAATACTTCCAGCAAAACAGAAAAACACTCCAATAAAATTACAATTCACAATTGCTTCTAATTGGTATTAAAGAATACAACTTCTTGTCGCATCCATCCTTCCCTGCGAATATTTTAGATTGCATCCATTCCCAGCGGCGGCTCCATTGCCAGCAGTCTTGAAGAACACGGTTTGTTCTTGCCCAAGTGGTTTCTTCAAGGACTATCTTCTTACTCCTACTCCACAGCGGCGATTGAATTTCTAAAGGTGCCTCCATTCCCAATCCGAGGTTCTACCTCCTTATTTTTGTATGTTGTTATATCAATCATAAAATCTTAATCCTTACTTTTTAGGGCTTGTAGATTCTTAATTTGATTTTCGTGTATTATTTGGATTTTAAACATGAAATTAGGATATTAGGCGCCAATATAGTGTGTTTTGGTGCCTGATGAATTATTTTGAGTTTTAAATATATTTTTTTCAAATGTTAATTATGCTTTGGGAATGCAAAACTGGCATAAGTGCTTTTTTATAAACTCACTTTACTCTCTTGACAAAAGAAAAACCCACTCTCTCTGACAAAAGAAAAATCTACTTTACTCTGTCTCTTTATAGAATACATGGATGATACTGCTTTGTTGGATATAGACAGCGACTCGCAGTTGCCCCTAAGAAGCACACATACAAGTATTAGGAACACATAAATTGACAATGGGGAAGAAGATGACGTGCCAAGAAATGTGGAAGGAATCATAAATGAGGCTACTAACGACCATGAAGACGACAGTAGTATCGTACGTAATGGTAGAGCCTGTGGGTTAAACATACCAAATTGGGCAACAGAGAGCATTGAGGTGGTGGAGTTTAATGCAAGGGGTCAAGCCATTGCCCCCAAAAAAACAGTAGCTCGATGGCAAAGGTTTCTAGGGCTCATGGCTGTGGACCAAGGTTTGTTTCCAATTGATGTACAAGATTGGCGACGTTTTGAATGTGGAACAACACTAGGCGATGCATGGAAACGAATCAAGGTATAAAGTATTTTGTGAGTTGGTTTTGTTTATAAATAATTTTATCTACACGATATTCTACTGGTATTATCTGTTTGAATCACATGTGTTAATATGTAAAGGCTTTTTATCAGGGGCCACGTTGACCCCTGGGACGATGGAAAACACCATTTAAGTTGGTAACTTGACCCATTGATTGGTTGAGTGGTTGGGCAAGAACGACCACCACTTGTTTGTGGAAAGGCCTGACTAAAGGGAAACAAAGCAGCGTCCAGCTTCTGCTGCCTTGCTCGTTATAATCCACGACATGTTCATCTATATTTAATTCATATCTTGTATATGGTTCATTCTTATATCTTGTATGGATCTGCCACTGCTTCATATCTTGTATATGACTCATTCTTATAATCTATTCTCATAGGCATCTTGTATACATTCTACAAATGAATACAACTCAATAACCTCAATTATCTTGAGCTCTACCAATCATGATATGTAACTTATAGGGTTGTGGTAACCCACTAGGTTATAGTGGATTACCCTTTAGTCGATGCTTTTATGAATCTAGTATTCCATTTCAGATTAGTATGTTTCTTCTTTACTTCTTTTGATAATCTGGTCATATGTTCTCTTTATGTAAGGCTCATCACCATGCATATAGGGCTTACATCACATAGCAGCAATACATTTTTGTGCATTAATGAGGTTAAAACCAGCAGGAAGTAACAGGTGATGCAAAAGTATAATAACCAATTATTTGTCAGGAATGTAACTTTTCAATGGAAGTTAAAAGGTTTCTTGTACTTTAAGTGATTTTTCAGCGCTTTTGGTCTTCGTGTTTCAGTTGACTACTCTGATTAACTTATACATGTCAAACCACTAAAATGTTAATGTATATAGTTGAATATGAATGCAGAGGACAATTGATTGGTCTGATCCGGAAACTAAAAAGAAGGCACCCAAAATATGGGCCGTGGCTGAGCAGAAACTCAATCATCTTTGGAAGAAACACAAGGCCAATCTAAAAAAGAATTGGTATGATCCTTTTTCGAATTCAGATGAGCGATGGAATTGCAATGATGACAGGGTTAGCAAAGAACAGTGGAGGTTATTGGTGAAATATTGGGAGACTGGTCCAGCG